ATTTCAGTCTCTCGATGTGCAAAACTGATAGAGACATACCCCAAGCGACTTACAGCTGTAATCGCAGCAAAAGGTGGCGCTACAAAGTATTAACTTAAGGGGGCTGAATAATTTTGCACGCCCAATTTTTCAGTTTTTTATTTGTTAAAAAAGTTTGAAATATCCAATAAATTTTGTTCCACTTCATGATTGTGTCCCACTTGTTGTTGATTCTTCACAAAAAATTACAGTTTTATATCTTTGTTTGAAGCCTGAAATGTGGCAAAAGGTCGCAAAGTTCAAGGGGGCCGAATACTTTCGCAAGGCACTGTACGTCTTGATCAGATGCTGTAGATCCTCAAAATAGCTCCCATTGCCTTCTGTTTCTTGAAATGAGCTGCCAGTCACTTCTAGTTAACCGACTCCTTTTTTGGCCAATACCCAGCATTGCTTCAGAAGGATATTGTGTTACTACTTCTGTCAACACCTTCCGCTTTGTTCTTACGATTACAAATACCTAGAGTTTTCTTTCCTCTTAGCCTTGAGTGACACAAAACCGTCTCATTTTTCCCCATCCCCTTTTCAGTATTACCATCACCACTTCCTGCTTCCCTGTTCCCTCCATCTGTTTCCGGGACCCAGTCAATGACTGGTTTGAGAGCCTGGCCCAGTGTTTACACTGGAACGTGAGGAAGAAGCAGAACTACCTCAGCTCAGAGGACGAGGAGTTCTGAGGCCATTCCACAACCCTCAAGATATTCTCCAAGTTCTCCAGGACTCGAAGGTCTTAGTATTAGTTTGATAATGCTCCATGCTCTTTGATGAATATAAAGTCTCACCAAACTCGATTCAAAAGTCTGTCTTAATAATGCTGCCCTTCATATATATGAAAATGATTCCTTATAGTAGTATTGGACCAAGCAGCACTACAGTCCTCCATGTTTTAATGTGGTGGAATAATAGGCCAACTATTATAGAAGCACTTTGCATTCACAAAAGAAGTAAAAATTGGAGGCTCTTATCATGTAATCATGAGATCCTGATCACCTAATTATGAATTCTTTTCTCATAATTGTCATACTATCTCATGATCATGAGAAAACATCTCAATTATGAGAGGGGTTGGAGCACTGTACACCTTGCCTGAAAAACAGGTTTTATCAAATGCTTTAGTGTCAGAGTAATTTAGTGATGGTTGTCAGTACACCTAATAGTGCATAGCAAATGAACTGTTAATGGCTAATTTGACATACTAAGTGTTCTAAAACAAACAAATACAGGCTAAATACAGACGTTAATGTAGCTGCCTTCACAGTAACCCACTCACATGTACAGAGCAGGAGTCAAAGCTTCAGAGCATTGGGTTTTTAAGATTTATTCAGTGTTGATGTAATTGTTGTAATAGCTGTTTGCATTTTTGAATACTTAGTTTGTCAACTTAGGTCTTAACAGTTCACTTTTGCTATGCACAACTGGATGTACTGACAAATATCACTGAATTACTTTGATACTAAAGAATTTGGTAAAACCTGATGATTTTCAGGCAGGTTGTGCAGCACTCCAGCCTCTGCATTATCTCAATTATGAGAAAAGATCTTGTAATTATGTTATCTGCATCTCAATTATGAGAAATGAAATCAGACCTTCCGTTTTTTCCCCTTTGAATGCAATATGCAGTACGCTTCCATAAACTGTGATATTGCAAAGTGTACAATTAAATTAAGGTATCTTAAATTAATCAAATTATAGTATATTCAGAAATAACTTAAACATATTACAAAATGTCATTTCAATGTTTTTATACAACTTTTCATTTTTATTTCACTACAGAATTTATTCCAAACTGCCCTTTTTTTCTTATTTCACAGTATAATTTTCCAAATTACATTTTATTTCACTTTTTTTGGCAGTAAAGTTGTCTCAGCCCCTCACTTTTTAGCCAGTGAAGCCAGTCCTACCAACCAGTCACCATATTTGGTGAGCTAGCTCCTGTTAGCCTGAGCAGCAGCAGTGCTGCAGTAAGCTTTAAAAGAAGGCAGCGTTAAATAAGTAATTCTGTTGACAGTGTTGTGTGGCTACAGATATTTCTCAAAGAGGGACATGTAACTGAATAGTGTGTAGTAGTAGTAGGTTGTTGTATTCAACAGATGCTGGTTACAGGAGCTAGCTGTTGGCTGCTAGCACTTTATATGCAGAGAGGTTGGGATTGGCAAAGAGGTGATGAGCCCGCTGCCAATTTCCGTCTTTAAAAGTGACATTGTGTTCCTTAACAAAATTGTACAAAACTATGAAAATGGGAATTTTGAAATAAGTGTCTATGATGGAACAAAAATTACATTGAAAAAAACTTACAATGTAAATTTGCAATTATTAAATTGAAATTCATAAAAAAAGAGTTTAAATATTTAATAAAATGAACACTTTGGGGCACCATAGAAAACAAACAATAGGCCTAACTCTCACATGCTTCTCAGAGAACCAGGCTTAGCCAAGTTCAAATGCTATTAGTTTGCAGCACTAATGGGGAGTCTGTAAATTTCCCCAAATGTTTACTCATGTACAAGCATGTTAAAATGGCCGGTTTTTGAATGGAGTTTGTCCCTACTATTGGTCCGAGATTGTCTGAGCATTTTCCTTCTGTATGCTGTGAAAACTTGTCTGCTGAAGTCTAAATGCAGTTAAAAAAACAAAAAAAAAAAAAACAGTTTTGACTTGTAATCAAAAGGAAACTAGGCTTGGGAGGATCTTGGTTATTGCAATATTCTGGATGGGTGCTATCAGGGCTGTTCTAGCACTTTTTAATCTCTAAGACAGTTGACAGGGTCACATACACACTGCACTTTTGTGGAGAGTTCTTTAACAAAAAAATTTAACTCAGACTTTTCAGAATTCTGTCAAATCTGGAAAAACTGAAACTTAAGTGCATCCTGGTCCTGAGCAGATTTATAGTACATCTACTTGGCAATAGTGGCCCTACTGTAGACTGTGCCTTAAAACACTGGTAACAATGTATAAACATATTTTTCAAGGTTTACCTAATGGTAATTTTTTTTTTTTTTTTTTAATAAAACATGCACAGATCTGTGATTTGGTCATTGTGATCACATGTTGTCTACAGCACAACACTTAACTAATCGAGTTACATAGTGAGTTTCACAGAATCTACTGAGTCATGTACTGAAAGCGTTGGATGACGTCAACTGATTTTCATTCCAGTTCAGATGTCTTCAGGGTCTTTTCAGTATTTTTAAAACCTCCTTTAAGCTAAAGTGTGTAGTTTTTGTGAGTGTTTGTTGAAGGATTTAATTGTTAGACTGTGGTGCATCCTTTCTTATTAGCTCTGTATGCTACTGTGCAACCTTTGTTGAATACTTAGGTGCCCTACTGTACATCTGCTGATCTGATAAAGTCTTCGCTCAAAATTTTTAAGGGTGAAAACATGATCAGTTATAGCACCTGTTAAAACTGAAGAGGACCAACAAGCTCCAAAAGACAATCATTCCTTTAACTCGGAATATGTATATACACATATGCTTGAATAAGCAAGATGTATTTTGTAATGTCTATATGTTTATGAACCTGTTTACAAAGGATCATTGCAGAAAATAAATCTGTTTGGTACTTTTTTACATTCACAAGCTCTTCAGTTAATTCTTTTTGTTTAAGGAGTTCTGATTCTCCAACTTTCAACAGTTTGATCAGAAGTACACTACAAGTCAAAGGTTTGGGCTCCCTATCCCAATTCAATTCAGTGCAATTTCAGTGCGTCCAAACGTTTGACTGCAGTGTATATGTAGCACAGTGAATACTCAAATATTCGAAAAGAGGCATTTATCAACTCTTATCCCAAAGTGCTTTTCCACTTTTATAAGTAAGAACATCTTTTGTATTGGTAAGCTTGTTAATCTTTCTATAATGAGTTCTATTTTTTTCCCATAGCACTTTAATAAACGCCATTTAACCAGGAAGTGTGTATCCTCCTGTTTGATCAACGTGCATCACGCCTGAAACCAGTTCATGGTTTCTATAAAATTACCAGAATGCGGTGGATTCATTTTTAAGCCCCGAGTTGAAGTAACAAAAAAAAGTTAAGTAGAGTCTAGTTTTATATTTGAGCAACAAACATAATTAGCCATTTCATTTGACATTTTATTGAAGAAAAAAAACAACACCTTGAGCAAGTGTATCAAAAAGTTTAGTAAAAAAAAGTCAAATATATTCCAGTGTTTCCCAAAGTAGTAATCTTTCTAGACAATGCAAAAGCAAACTAAAATCTGTCAACTTTAAATAAACCTTGGCAATTTAAAGTGCTAATAGATTTACATATTATAATTGTTCATTTAAAAAGCATTATAAATCCAAGCTACAAAGGCATTTCATGCTAAAATGAATGCAGTCCGAGTTGAATTGTGGTTCTTTACTTCCTACAGATAAAGCAGGCACACTGACCCAAGATGTGTTAACTAAAATAACTTCCATACCAGGAAAGAGAAAATTAGGATTTTTTTTTTTTTTTAAAGGAGAAAAGATCTCAGGTAACTGACCATTTTGGTGGAGTTCATGCTGAATCTGAGCTCCCTGGTCAACACCGCAGAGCTGAAGTGTCTTAAAGTCAGGCCTTCAACAAGCAGCTGTGCCCTTGGTCCATCACCACCAGGTGTTGTATCACTTGCTGGGTGCAAACACTGCAGGACAAAAATGTAAAGTTTGGTACTGTGCTGTTTTCTTAACCAACATAAACACACTCAAGGTCAGTACAGTCAGGAAAAACACAGGTTTCCTGACCATGATAACAAAAAGGGGACATTTGCAAACAAACTGTGATTAGTTAACATTCTCTTAATGAAGTGTTTGTTATAAATTCTGCTCAGGCTAATGTTTGAAACATCACACAGCATACTCACTTCTCTCCCTCAGGCCTTGGCCAAAGCTGTGGACCAGTCTGATGAGGCCCCAAAATAAAACCACCTTAATTATGAGTGAAATCAAAGCTGCAGTGATGGTAGCTGCCTCCCGGGTGTACATGCTGTCCGAGAACCATTTCACTATCACCTGAAATTAAAGCAAACCATCGTTTTCCTGCAGAAATCAATTTCTGAATTTACAGCTTATCACAATTTGTACGCAAATGCACTGTCATGCACATATACACAGCCCAATAATTTAATAATTTGTGTTTTTGTCAAGTGGATCTATTTACAATGATTCAAATGTCTCTTAAAATGAAAATATCAAAATGCTCCTGTTGAACTTTTTTAGTAATAGCATTTTATAGTAGTGTAAAGTAACAAAGTATATTTACTCAAGTAATATAAGTACAATGTGATGTACTGGTACATGAGTATTTATACTACTTTATATTTCAACTCATATTTCAGAAAAAATAATGTATTTATTATTCACATGAAAGCTGTAGTTACACTGATGAGTACTTGTAATTGATATTTCTGTGCTTGTCAAGAGTAATGTCAACACTGTGCTAAATATGATTAACTTACTGTAGCTTAGCCCAAAGGTGGTAAAAGGGGGGACAAATAGCCTGGCTCTATCCAAGGGAAACCATTTTTTGTTGTAAGAAAATCTCATGAAATGGTAGAAACCATTACTGGACTGCTCCCACTACAAAGTCTGTGTATCCACAGCCTGATCAAATTTATTATAGTCCTAGAGCTCCACTCCTGACCAGCAACTACATATATACAGACAGACACATCGATCATAACAATGTTATGATCGATGTGTTGATGTTATGATCACTTGTTTGTGGCCATAACATTATGACCACAAACAAGTGATGTGAATAACACTGGCTATCTGGTTACAGTAGTTTCATTCATCCTTTTCAAAAGATTCCATTCTGTTTGAATCTTTGTTAAAATGGCTGAAATGAGAAATACTGTAGTTCCCAGTTACTAGGCTTTTTTTTTTTTAAATGAAGCTATGAAGTTGTGATCCATTTTTAAGAATTTACAATCTCAGAAGAAAAAAATAAAAGTAGTTGGAGTTTTGGGGGAAGTTTTGAAAATGAATCACACATGGATTAATGTAAAAACCTGTACCTGTACAGATTCAGAGAAATTTTAATAAATCAGTCATTGTCAGCCTACCATATACAGCAGATAAACCAAGAAGGCCAGCTGAGGAAGGTTCTGCCCCATGAAGACCCAAACCAAGACCCTGGCTTCTTTTAAAACCTGAAAAACAAGTGGTAACAACTTATGACTGCTTCTGAATTTACAATGTGTGCTTATTCAGAATGCATCCTACATGATATTTCTATCAATAATCTGTTTATTCTCCTGCATTAGATGAAGAGCACTCACTGCAACAGCACCAACAGCAGCAGTTAGGCAGGCCCAGACTACTCCAACACCCAGGATGATGCTATTGCTAGTGGAGATGACCAAATCCAACGCTGTGATCAGGATACACAGACACAACTGAAACACACCAACACGCTATTAATGAAGTCAGCCAGCAGTTATCTTACAGAGATACTAGTATTTTAATTTGTTCTTTCCTCTTGTACCAACAAATGCTCCACAAACATAGCAGTAGCATCAACAGACCGAATGCGAATGCAACCACAGCTTGTGCTGCACTCTCAAACATGAGATATCTGACTCGATCTAACTTTTAAAACACGTGGGAAATCCCTGCCTGAGGCTGGGTGAGGGAGAACTGGTTCACCCCAAGGAGGGCACTGAACATCACAGGATGATGAGGCGGTCACATTTATACAGAGGAAGGCGTGTACCTGAGCCTGTAGGTCAAAGGTCACCATGGAAAAGCAGAGGTTGAGCAGGAAATACTGCTCCTGGAGTCTCTCCAAGGCCCCCCCCACACGGAACGCCATCATGTTGGGCCTCAGGATGAGCAGTGAGGTGCAGAGAACGTGCACTGTACCCACACACATGATGCACACAAAACGAACCTGCAACAGACACAGATCGTAGCTCGTAACTCAGTTTTCAATAATGTAGCTTTATATAAAAGATAGAAAAATTCTATGGTCCTTCAGGTTTATGGCATCCTCAAAAAAAAAATAAATCAATCACTGTCATGAAGGGAGGATTCATTGCACAGCACTTGTATTAGACTGCATTAGGTTTAGCTAATAACTGGTAACTATACATGATAGAGAGTCCACAGCTCATTGATCAGCAAACCATTTACTAGATAAGAGAAAGTAAAATAACTAAAAATGAATCCATAACAAAGTGACTAGTACATTTAAACATGTTAGGGCCTTATGTTCTTCTCACTAGAGGAGACACTGCTGCAACAAACAGTGGACTTTTCTCTTCCTGTAAAAGCCCAAATAAGGTTCTCACAATTTTCCATCAGTTGACTTTAACCATATCAAGGCAAATGACCAGTAAACATTAACTAAGAGCTATAATATGCAGTCAGATATGAAGAATACCTTGTAGGTTGTACTCACTATTCACTGACAGCGGACAAGTCTAAGCTCACAGCTAGATGTGACTGATACATGTAACAACAGTGACATCAAATGGTGGAATCAGAGATTCTTTCAACAGGGCGAAAACTAATGAGCCCATCATTAACTCTATAAAACCATTTGTAACATTTTTGCTAGGTGAGTTTCTGAGCAACAAAAATCACCAAAAATGTATCAAATGTGATACCAAAAATAAATAAATAAATAAATAAATAAAATAATATGGCACATTTAATCCTATATGCCTGGACTGTCTGTCTATGCAAATATCTTGAATCTTGAATTTTCTTTTGTATTTTGTTAAAAGGTTTAATAAACATCCCAGATCCAAAAAATTTGAATATTCTGGATATTTAACTGCAGCATTACATTAACACACGCATGTTAGGTGGTGATGGATACATTTCTGTGCTTCGTGGATATTTTAAGATAAGTGATGATGACAAAAGTAAAGTAGACTAAGAGCTCTGAGTCTTTGTGACAGGAAGGGAGGGGCGCCCACAAACACCCTTTTTGTGTGTCTGTGGGCGCACACATGCGGGCAAGATGACAAGGTACAGGACTGTGAAAACAACACTATGTGCAACAACATCCAGCAGCAATGGAGAGGGTAGTTAATCAAACACCTGTTGAACAAGCTGAATATGACAACGAACTCACAGAAATGAGAAATTTTCACTCTCCCTGCAGTCAAAACACCTGGTCCTGTTCACCCACTAAACCCGTACGGTGCTTGTTAAGCTGAATGTAGCGAATTGATGAGAACAAGATAAAACAAACGCTCATTTTTTCTAGTTAACGGTAGAGTTTGATGAGCCCTGTATATGACAATGAGTTGGATCCATGTGGATGTGGAGGCTGAAACCAGCAGCTCCTCTTCAGCAGTACAGGTGTGTGTCCAGCAGAAAGGACAGGACGAAGCCAGGGACAGTCACTAGTTTAAAGGAAGAACATGTACCCATGTTAAATTAAACATTTAAACTGCTGACTAATATTATGTGCTCCCAAACTTGCTGTTCTGGGCAGGGGTTGTGAAGTAATTTCATCCTAACAGCTGTATTTTCATGTGTTCATTATACTATGTAATGCAAGTAATGGTTCATCACACACACACACATACGGTTGACTCATGTTCTTTTGGTGTCTGGCAGAGAGCAACCTACCAGCAGATCCTGCTTGTCCTTTGGCCCCAGCACAGAGAAGTTGACCACCGATCGGATCATGATCACAAACACACAGAGTACAAACACCACCAGCTCCTGTCTGTTCTCCTGCAGCACGCCACGGCTGATATAGTAGATGCAGAACACTGCAGGTGACAAGACCATACAATGCTCATAAAACAGGAGCCAAGTCAATTGATGTATTTGCACTTTTATATGCAAGGCTGTAAACAAACATGGTGGATCAGAGTAATTGTTCCAGTGTCAACAAAACAACTGCAAAATGTAATATTTGTGGCAGGGTACTTAAAAGAGAAGGGAGAATGACAAGTCCTTTGTTTAAATATTTCTCTCTCATCCAACATTTTGGATACCCTGAGGAGGAACACAGTGCATGCAAAACCGCGATTTATTCAACTCAAAATTCACTGAATGATCGAGCACAAACAGAAATAAAGATTTTCATTGTGTTGTTTTCACGTCAGCGTTCCGGGGCTTCTGCAGCTGCAGCACAGCCCCCCAATGAGGAGCAAACACAGCAAAGGGAAGAATGTGGGAGGACAGGATCGGTGTGTGTCACAGCGAGCGCAGTGATATGAGGTGAAAGCACCACAACCCTTCAGCACAGCACAATGTCCATGGTTTGGATTTGATAGTTAATTACCACAGTTCTTCTCTCAGTGCTGTGTTTGTCTGGTAACTGGTCTATAATCCAGTGGTGTCATTAAAAACTAGATTATAACTTTTGTTACCAAAAGAGCTTGTTTTGTTTCTGCACTGAATAAAACAAATATGCTACTTAAACAGATTTGATAATGGATTTGTAGGAATTCAGACTCAACACATAGATTTGGAACTGGATTCAGTTTCAGAGGAAAGCTTCTGAACCCCCATCCCTACTCCTCAGATCTGTCCTACACATTAGTGGATGATGACTACCACAGAACTAACTTCTAAAAGGAAAACGAACAAGCTACAAAACCAGCTAACAATCACAGAGAACACTTTTCTGAAACACAGTGGCAAAAAACATTTTGCACTGTAACAACTAGTTGACTGATTCATTAATCAATCGATAGAAGGTATTTAAATTTGGCTAATATTTTTTAAATAATCAATTCATCATTAAAGTTAATTTTTTAACAATAACAAAAGGCCAAATTCACTTTTTCCAGCTTGATATATGTCAACATTTTCTGGTTTTCTTTGCCAGCTATGACAGAAAACTGAATATCTGTGGGTTCTGGACTGAAAGTTGAACCAAACAAGAAACCTGATTGTGTCACCCTGGGCTCTGAAAACTTGTGATATGCTATTACAGACATTTTATAGACAAAACCATTAATTTAGAGCTTACAGTGATCAATATGGAAAATAATCAGGTCCAACCCTACATTCATTGTTACGTATAGGTTTAACTGTTATAAACAAGGAGAGCAGGACAGTACACAAAGCACGTTTGGCCACAAGAGGGCAGCAGATACAAGAGATTATTTGGTCAACTCAGATATACCATTAAAGCCTACACACTTTTTAGCCAAGATCCCTTGCAGCAACTTTCCACGTGAGAACTGAATACTTTATATTTTATTAATTAAAGCCAATATGTTTACACATCCTACATCTGACAAGAACACTTTGAATCACATGCAACTCCACTTTTGTTATTTATATATACTTAAATGTACACTTTGAATCACATGCAACTCCACTTGTTATTTATATATACATAAATGCCCACACAGTTTACATTATGTTGGTAAGACCAAATGCAATGTGAAAACTTGAATATGTGAACATAAATGTTCATTCAGGAATCGGGGCGAGAAGTCTCTGGTCACCAGGCATTTTACTTAGTTGAGTCTGAAACACTCTGGACACTGAAGTTGTTCAAGTGCCGACTGGTGGGGACAAAGAAAAACGTCATCACAAAGGGAGCGTGGGAGGATTCACCAGCTGAATACCTTAACACCTTTTGGTTTAAACAAGCATTTCACTCTGTATTGTTTTCTATGATACTGTTCAGGTCATTTGTTTTACAGATCGACAACGATCATCTTTGTTTATTTTAATGATTTACTTCGTCTTGTTTTGTTGTAATGACACATTTAATAACATCTGAAAGGCATTTGCACTGATTTGTCATATAGGTCACCCATTTCTAATGGGTCACATTGTGTGTCTGCACATTGACGAGGACCTGGTGCCTGAAACGTGTGCTTTCTGTTCTGTTTGATTCAGTTCATCCTGAGATGTGCTGTCCTTGTCTCCTTGTTTAAACATTTTTACTGAGGATTCAGGACCCCACTATACATACTGGACTGAATGTGTTGTTGTTTCACAGATAGGTTTAACTGTACAAGGCTGGATCAGTAATGGATAACCTGAAACACTCAGTGCCCAGCGGTATCATTTCAACAGAGTATGCAAAGAGAAGCATGATAAACAGCAATAATTACATCAGGAAACGCTTGGCCAACACTGTGTTCGGTTGGTAAACGGGCAAGGAGTGAAATCAAGTTCCTGAAGACAGTTTTCGTCCTGCTGATGGACTGATGGTACTCACATATTCCCACCAGAAGTATGAGAGATACAGTCAAGTTGTCCTCATCAGTCATGCTTGTGTCCTTACGCTGCTTATAGATGCTGGTTAGGGTGAGGCCGAGCAGCGCCAGCAGAGACGCTATGGTGAAGCAGAAATAGAGCTTCACCAGACATGACAGCTCCGACCAACGCTTTATCTGGAACAGGGTGGAGATGAGAATGTAAAACAACTTGTGATAAAAATATTTTCAATGGAACTGTGTCTGCAAGTCTAAGCAAATGAAAGACTAATTTTGCAACTGAAAAAGCAGAAGTTTGAACACAGCAGAGCCGAGTGACTCCAATTTATAGACAACTGCTATTTTTTACTTGGTTCTAAATAAATTTAATGACTATGTAAACTTTATTTCTAGAACCCGAACTTCACTTGCAGGGAGACTTAAGTTTTAGCTCAGCTTCTTTTGACCCCCCCCCGCATTTAGTACGAGTACTAAATTATGCACTGTTTCTACTACAAAAAAAATCCAATTGCTGTAGAGACAGATTAATTTAATGAGATTTACTTTCTGATAGTGGTTAAATAAAACATTTAACAGGAGGCTGTGCAAATTACTTAAAAACCTTTTGTGATAAACACACCACTGCCACCATTCCTACTGAATAATGTGTAGCTGAATTTCTGTAGCCTGCTACAGTGGGTTTTAACCTTTTTTAGGCATGTGACCCTGTGTTAGGATGTAATGTTTTCACAACCCCCTGACTAGAATGTCACAGTTTAGGCGCACGTTATCACACTTAGCAATTTAAATGTTTACTGTAACGAGGCTGCGTGCTCTTGTGTTAAACTGAGTGCGGCTCTACACTTTCCGCTCTGCTGGACACACACTGTACCTGTTCTGCTGCTGGTCTCAGCCTCAAAGTCCACAGGAGTTCAACCCATTTTCATAGACAGAGCTCAGCTGACATCGCCGTTAGCAACATAAAGGTAGTGTTTGATTTCTTCCAGTTCACAACAACTTTTACAAGTAGAAGTACAGTACTAGAGGGCTTTATCGGGCCCGAGACTGGTATCAGCATCAGTGCATCCCTACTTTTAGACACAGTGTTGCAGTCTGTTACTGAGACAAAGCAAAAAGCATCTCACCGGTCCACATGGTGTTGGGATCAGCTCCTGGTGTCTCGGCCTCAGGTTTGACAACAGCAGGTCTGGGCTCTCTTGTGGCCGGTTGTCCAACAACGGACTTAAAAGTAAAATAAATAATAATAAAAATAACCAATACAGTGGTGCCATTTTATTTATGCATTCCATGAGGGATTGAGAGAATCAGTAGTTTATTCATTTTCACCACTAAACTATCTTATGTCGCTCTGATATACACATATGGAAAGAATATTGGACCACAACATTTTACAATATGGTTACTTTGTTGTTTGCATGCCATAAAAAACTACAAGTAACTTACTGATTTATTTTTATAGCTTTATTTTCAAAGGACAATTGCCACTGTTAACTCTAGAAACTGTAAATGAGCCAGATGTTAAAATGTCTAAAGGAGGAAAGTAACAAAGTGCATGCACAGGGTACTGCACCAACAACAAAGGTAAAAGAAACAGTGTGCGTACAGTTTGTTGTCTAGTCTATGATGAGCAAAAGGAAAGGAGAAGATACAACAGGTGTTTCCACAATGAGCTTCACAAATCAATAAAAGTGGATCAGAAGAAGACAATTGTCAGTGAAAGGTCTGTCCGTACAAGTCAAGTCAAGAATCTTTATTGTCATTATGCATAGCACAACGAAAAATTTTTCTGGCAGCTCTTGGTTTAAAAGACATTTACACAACACAAAATTGTATAAGTCAATATAAAAATATGAACAAATAAAAAGGGATGTATGGAACCTAATCAGGTCAGCAGCAAGAGTGTAGTAACATTATAAGGTGCAGCTCAGTGCAAATCTGTCTTTAGGAGGAGGTGTGAGCATGGGTGTGTGTGTGTGTGTGTGTCTGCAGAGGTCCAGTGTTCAGTGCACTGCAAGGAGGGCTTCAAATGTTATTACAGCAGGTGAGTGGCCCCACTGTCTATAAAAGGAGTCCAGAGAACAGCAGCATCAAAGAAACAAAGCATTTAAAGAACACAATAAATGGAAATAATTCACTAAGCAGCACATTCATAAAACCCTTAGGCTTTAAAAAGTGAATAGAAAAAAAATGCACAGACAATCAACAGCTACACAAATCAATACATCCAAAAATACACATTAATATTCTTTCAGAATACAGTATGAAAATGTTTGGCTACCCCGGGGCAAAAATGGGCCTTCTTCAAATATTTACATTCAGCTGCTTTCAGTTTCATAAACTTAGAAAAACGGAGGCAAATGATCCTTACAAAGAGACGAGGCGATACTAAAGGTGGGAATCTTTGGCAAACACAATTCAGTCCACATTCTTGGCATCACAATTTGATTCAGAATGATATTTGACTCAAAATGATTATTAAATTAAAAAAAAAGAAAGGCACTACATTTGGCTCTCTTAGTTAACTGTGTGTCTAACAACGGATTTCTCTCCGTTGCCCAATGAGCTAATAAAGCTTAGCTCAGTAGTGCTAACTGAGCCTGAAGTGTGTTTTGCTGAGCTGCTCTCATTTGTTAATCAGTCTGTTGGTGATGGGCTACTAGGTACTCACACAACCCTACACATTTGTCTTTTAAAGCTCACCATCAAGTCATTAACACACACTTAGATTATTTCCTTTACTGAAGATGAACTAATGTTGCAACACAAGTCGTGAATGCGTGTGCTGTACACCGTCTGTGTGCTGCACTGGCTTTGCGGTCCAGTTCCGCCTTTGTCGTTCCATCAACATTATTACAAAAATCTACTTTTAGCATTTGTGAATCTATTTAGAATCATACAAGATATGAATCACAGTTCTTATGTGAACCAATTTTTCCTCCCACCTCTATACAAAACAATATCAAAGCACTTCCAGCTTGAAATTTCCAGTATTCAAAATGTGATTAAGAAATGTCTGTTAGGCGAAATGTGGAAGTCAAAGACAAGATGTGGAAGACCAAGGTATGTTTCAGATAGAACTGCACAAACAAAAATGTAAAATTTATGCAGTGTTGATGCATAAACTGGGCCTATATGGAAGAGTCAGCAGAAGGAAACCCACAAAAATACAGAAGTCAAATCTATGGAATATGCAAAGTCAATTCTAGACATCACAGTCATTTTGAAAATGTGTTGCACAAAATCACCAAAGGAAAAAAACACATTTGAGGACAAGAACAGTTCATCAACTGAGAAGAACAAGGGTGGAAATGTTATATTATTCTTTGAGGCTGTGTGGCAGGAAACACTGGACATATAGAAAATCTGTGGCTAGATCTTAAACACACTATGTGTGCAAGAAAACTAAGACCTCAGAACTTGAATTGATCTGCAAGAAACAGTGAATGAAAATATCAAAATCAAGACCCCTATCTGACTCCAAAAAGGGTTTGAAAGCTGTGACATCTGCCAAAGGAGGAGTTACTAAGTACTGACTAAACTTTTCTAGATGTCATGGGCTAACTGCCGTTAATTGGTCTGTTTATTAAGTTCAGAAGATGCATTTTCAAGAAAGGACATTCACTTCTTTTCACTTCAAAAATCAACTAAATAAAGAACCAGCCCTTGGGTAGCCATATTTTTGCATACAACTGTATAGGAGCTTTTTTCCAGGCCAACTTTTTCCACTCAGTCAGTCAGAAAAAGGACACTGTAACACTATCCTGTGGGCATTATCACTGAATACAATGGCTAATCCCAAATCTGGGACTTCGACAGAATTTCCGTTTGGAAAAGAGAAAAACATGAGGCAGTGGTCTGCACATGAATCCAGGCTTTGCCCCGTGAGGAAAATCATAAGACGTAAGGATAAATGAATGCAGTAAATCACTTATAGCCGTTTCTCACTGTGCATTTTGCGCGTATTTAACTAAGGTATTTATTTAAGGAGCTATTTCTCTGTTTATAATCCAATACATGCCTGTGTAGGCTACGTGTCAGGCAACAACAGGTCGCTTTAAATAAAACAGATACTTTATAACATGTTAACGTGGTAAGTCCATTGTAACGGTTCAGGTTTCCTTCAAACATCTTGCTTTCTAGGTGTGACAAGTTATAACGTACCAGTTCTGTGAGTAGCGTTAGCTAACATCTAGCAGGTGTCTGACCACTTTGTCTTGACATGTCCACACGCCGCAATTAACAGAATGCCATAAAATTAATGGTTATATATTAAGATACTCACCTTAACTCGTCCATTTCCTTGTGGACAAGATGCGGGAACCGGAGCTTACATTCCTATGCCCATTTGCTGTTTACCTCCAGCAGACCAAACTACCTGAACTTCAGTTTCACATTTCATTATACAAACAGGAAGTACAGCCTACTCCCCTTCTACTAATCGCGTTTCTTCTTAAACGTATTGTTTGTTGAAGACGCTACTGCCCCCTAGAGGATTAGAGCGGCTATAATTATTGCTTTTGCACAAGAAACAACAATTCAAGACTCAATATTTTTATTTGCTATTTATGCATAAACAGGCAATCTAGGCATATAGGAATTCTTGTGCAGCTCTCTTGGAGTCAGGTAAAAAGTTAAAAGCCAGAAAAGAACATCTAGTCTGAAAATAAAGTTACGTAAGAGTGACATACTGTAGTGTAAAAATGAATTCAAGATAAAAACGCAAACAAAAAATAAAATAATAGATAATGGAAGAGATGGTGAACTTCAAATATTGCACATAGTATTTCACATAGTGGAGTTGGATATGGTATTTCTTTTAGTAATAATAATAATAAGGGGTTATTGCACATGTTTCTCACATTTTGTATTTGCCAACAAATACTGCGGCAGGGAAAAAGCTGTTGTAAAGTCTTGTTATGTGTGTTACTGTCTCTGCTGTGCATGAGGTTGTACATGCAGTTTTTGTGTAGTTTAGGGTGTGAGCTGGGTGGAGTGAGTCTCAGATTACGTTCTCTGCCCTTTTACAACAGCACTGTGTGTATAGTGTGTCCATAGCAGGCAGTTCAGTCCCAGTGATCCTCTCTACCATCTTTATGACCCTTTGAAGAGCCTTCCTCTCTGCTTGTGTGGTGTTACCATACCAGACAGTGATGCCAGTGGTGAGGATGCTCTCTACCAGTCCTCTGTGAGCCTGGTTGAGAGGGCAACGGTTCACCCCAGCTTTGAAATCAAATCAAATCAAATCAAATTTGATTTGTATAGCACCAAAAGTCATCTCAGGACACTTTACAAAGTAAGGTCTAGACCTTACTGTTATCAATATTATTACATTGGGAAAACCCAACAAATCCCCCTTGAGCAAGCACTTGGTGACAGTGGGGATGAAAAACTCCCTTTAACGGAAGAAACCTCCGACAGACCCCGGCTCTTGGTGGGTGGCCTTCTGCCTCGACCGGTTGGGGTGAGTGGATAAAGGAGAGACAAAAGAAGAAAAACAACAAGACACAATAATCAAACACTGATCAGGTCAATGTGGCTGGTGACTGCTCATCAGAGACGTAGAGCTCCAGGGCCAGGGCAACCTGCAGAAAGGTACAGGGAGAGAGAGAGGACACACTACGAGAGAGAGGAGATACACAGTTAGTAATGTGTAATGGTGGCATATAGAAGCATAGGGAGAGAGAGGAGAGGGGAGGGGAGGGGAGGAGAGGAGCGGAGAGGAGAGCAGGAGGGGAGGGGAAAGAAACTCAGAGCATCATGGGGCCCCCCAGCAGCCTAGGCCTATAGCAGCATAACTAAGGGAAGGCTCAGGGTCACCTGATCCAGCCCTAACTATAAGCTTTATCAAAAAGGAACGTCTTAAGTCTAATCTTAAAGAAGTGCTTTGTTAGGATGATAAGGCTCTACGAGGTCTTTAAGATATGATGGAGCCTTGTCATTAAGGGCTTTGTATGTTAGGAGAAGGTTTTTAAATTCTATTCTGAATTTTACAGGGAGCCAGTGGAGAGAAGCTAATATGGGAGAGATATGATCTCTCTTGCTCGTTCCTGTCAGTCCTCTGGCTGCAGCATTTTGGATTAACTGGAGGCTTTTTAGGGAATTATTGGGACATCCTGATAGTAAAGAGTTACAGTAGTCCAGCCTGGAAGTAACAAATGCATGGACCAGTTTTTCAGCATCACTTTGAGACAGGATGCTCCTGATTTTTGCAATATTGCGTAGGTGAAAGAAGGCAGATCTAGAGACTTGGATTTTGTGTGATTTAAAGGACATATTCTGATCAAAGATGACTCACAGGTTCCTCACAGTAGTACTGGAGGCAAGAGCTATGTCATCTAAAGTAACTATATGATTAGACAGCAGATTTCTAAGGTTTTCAGGCCCAAGCACAATAACTTCAGTTTTGTCAGAGTTTAGAAGTAAGAAGGTGCAGGTCATGCAGGCCTTTATGTCTTTAAGACATGCTTGAAGTTTGACCAGCTGATCTGATTCATTTGGCTTCATAGATAAATATAACTGAGTATCATCTGCATAGCAATGGAAATTTATGTTGTGCTTCCTGATAATATTGCCTAAAGGGAGCATGTATAAAGTGAAGAGAATTGGACCTAACACAGAGCCCTGTGGAACGCCGTGACTAACTTCAGTTTGTGTGGAACATTCGTCATTAACATGAACAGCTCAGATAACCTCATGTCACGCCTGAAGACCAAAGCAACTACTGGCAGCAAGAAAACAAAGAAGTGGGAAGACGACAACAGCTTCCAGGTTTCAGACTCAAAAGAAGCAGCTCCTGTAGAGGCGGCGCCGCGGAACAAACCCTCACGTGCCCATAAACCTGTAACCTACCAAGTGGACTCCAGCTCAAATGAAGACTTTTAAAATTTAGCCTCTGAGTCAGAGTTCATTTTGTGCTAAAGACAGTGTTTTTAATAAGCATGTAGCTTGTGCCATGTGATGAATATGGCTTCGGTTTCATTGAAACATGGTTGCAGTTACACTTGACAGGACCTTAGACCTCACCTTACTATGTTCTGAAATTCTTGTTCATTTTAGTGGAAGAAAAATGTTGTTGTAAAATAAAGTCACTTTGTATGCTTCCGGTTCTTAGACACAGTGTGTAGTTTTAGCTGTAAATTTACTTAGTTCTGTGTATTTTTTCTAATGAACTTGTCTTTGTCTTGTAAATATTTCACTGAACATTTTAGGTTTTTGTAAAATAAAACTACCTTTGTGTATTGTTACATGTTTGGAATTGTGAGTTATATAAAATGTCAGATTTTCTTTTAATTGAGTGGAGTGACATATGCAGAAATAGCCGCTCTTCGTTTCCTCTCTCAAATGGAAGATAGCGGGATGGAGTATATTATTGCCACCACAAAACTCATAAATGGTACAACTTGGATCAAATCCCTCATGGACCGGCCTGAATCCCAGACCCCCTGAGTGATGGATGTACACCTGGTCTCTTCAAGCACTCCATTCATCAGAAATCTCAAGTGCAGGTTTCAAGTCTATGTCGGTGTTGTGCAAGTGTTATACTGATTCTGATCAAATTGCATTTTTAAAGGTGCACTGTGAGGGTTTTCTTGTAAATAACTGTTATTTCTCCTTCTCTCCTTCGTCCACCACGCTCTGCCGCGTTTCAGCGTTCCTGGCCACCTTGCACCAGCCATTGGGTCTTATTAGCGTCCGGACAAGATTGCCCTCCCTTCCCTCTGCGCGCTCCCACTGCGACAGCACACGCCTCCAATTCAACCATAGTGGATAATGAAGTCCTTGAGGTTTTCTGGTGACACGTCCAGCTGTAGTTTGTGGAACGCTTGTCTGTTTCCTGTTTGTTCTGACCAACCAAGCTCTGTCTCAATGTCTCTGGAAATGCTGGAGGCTGTCATGGATGGCTCCACATTCACCTTGCCCAGAGGCATGAAGCTGATGTCTATGCAGGAGTGTTTACAGTGTAAGAACCTGGAGGAGATGTTGAAGTTCAGGAAAGGACTATACAACGACATCACACACAGGTGACTCGACCATTAAAGCTACCACACTTATTGTGGTGTAATGTTTCTGATAAAAAAAGATTCAAGACAGGGGACATAAAAACAAACAGTGAGAGGCTTTCATTAGTTCAGATTTATTTTGTTACTTGTGTCTCACTTGAACATTTTCTTTTCATGCCACTTTATATTTTCTACTGCACTACATTTTCAAATATTGTGCCTGTTACTCTGTTATAATTTTTAATAATCTGACAGTTTTAGTTGCTTTACAAATCAAGACTTTGCATACAAATCAGTGCTTGTAAAATATGATGCACTTTCATCAATAAATATTACCCAACAGTGGACTTATAACCAAAATTATTAGTTAACATAAAATTAATTGGCAACTATTTAAGTATTTTTCACACAAAAAATACTTATTTATCTATTTAAAAAGACTTCATGTTCCATCTCCCCATAATATGATATACGTTAATGTGAAATGTGAATGAAATTCTGTATAATGAGTACCTTACTTTTGAGACTTCAAGTACTGTATATTTTGATGCTAATACTTTGGTACTTTTATTTACATAACATTTTTAATGCAGGCCCTTTACTGGTAAACTTTCACTTCATCTTAAATGATTTTATTCTGGTTTTAATGCTGATTGTTTTTTATGCTGTTACCTTTTTTCTTTGCCTATGTAAAGCCCTTTGAATTACCACTGTATGAAATGTGCTATATAAATAAATGGCTTGTACATAATATTTTTACACAGTGGTATTGCTTCTTTAAATTAATAAAGAAATTTAAGTACTTCTTCCACCACTGCAATGGTGAGAGGCAGGGAATTTCAAAATAAAAATAAACTTTGATTTGTATGTGATCTCTCACGAAGCCCTGGAGAGACGTGTTATTCCAATCTCTTCCAGTTGGAGGCAGTAATGCGTCATAATAATTTTTGCACGCCGCCAAATGCGGGAGTGGGGAGAAAACCAGAAGAAGTAGATTTCTCTTGTTTCGGATTTGCTTGATGTGGCGCTTTAGCTGTTAGCAGCCACGTTGGGTGCATAGATATGGGTAACTCAGACATAGGGGTAAATGTTTTTGTGTGGAGGGTGTAGTCTCGTTTAACTCTCCTTCGTGTCGTAGATTATAGTGGACAGTACAGTTGTCTTTTAAGCTCCTTTGCATGTCATGCTGCCGCAAGCAAACGGGGTCTAGCTAACGCCAATGTACAGCTTCCTCTAATTTTCCTAACACTCGTCGCTGTCTTCCTGATCAGCTGTGTTTATTTTTCACTCCAAGCCGAGGCGTCTATATTCAAACAGAGGTCCGCCCCGTCGGTGCATTTTGAGTCTTGCCAGAAGAAGCTACAGCAAACGTATTCTTGCCCTTCACCCTAAAGGTAACGTTACATGTTTTTACCTGTTGTTTTCGCTACAAAGCTCAAACGCAGGGTGTTGTTCAAATACTGAAC